CCACAACTTTGCTTTGGTTGTCGAGTCATTTTGCGCAACTTCCGCCCATGAAATCCAATGCCCCAGCACGCAGCGCCACTGACTCTTGGCTCCATGACTCACTCCTGGTCCTATGCATCGGCTTGCCCTTCCCTCGCGGATTCCTGCGCAACTTCGGCCCATAACATCAGTTGGTCCAACGATGCCAGAACTTGTCCATTCCTGAATCGCCACTTGACAGTCGAACCACAAACGCTGCGCGCTCGGCTGGGCCGAGGAGGGCCACGCGCACCGTTTACAATTACTGCTCACCTGAAGCCAGGGATTCCAGCCACCGGGGCCTCAAACCGCGCTTTCGGTCGACACGCGCGGTCGACCTGGCGAAACGTCGCGCCTGGCCACCAGGTACACAGTGGTCGCCCGCTTCCGGGCTTCTCGGTCCGTGGCCTGGGCTGAACCAGCGAAAATATCATCGACACACCATGTGGGTGCTGTTGCCCGGCTGTGGGTCAAAACCCTGTACCCCTGGTGAACATTAAAATAGGTTGTACTTGGGTGTTCCGCCCCAACATGGAGGCATAGGTTATGACCCATGGCCACCCCTCTGCGAAAAGTTTCAATTTTTGGGGGGTCCAATGGAGTTTTCCGCTGTTTATCAAAAAGTTAGACTCCAAAAATCCAGCCAAAGAGCTATCAAGAACAAACAAAGTCCTCGTGAAGGCTTGGACTCTTTTGGTTTGGGCTTCGTCTGCGCCATTGGGGCCCAATAAGTTGACAAATAGGTCGTCAAATAGGTCAACAAGAGGGGTCTTTGGGGGCATGTAATCAATTTAAGCCCATGTCGGAACCCGCCCATTGCAAATCGAAAAAGGCTCAGTTGCCTTTCAAGTGTGCGGAAAGGCCCTGGCTTGTTTTCTCCGTTCAACATATTGGCTGAGCTTGGGTCGTTGGGCGCTGAAAATCATATGTTGCCTAGGTTTTTGTTGTTTTCCTTTCTCTCACTATTGTCCATATGAATAAGGGGACGGGTCCCTTTACGTTCGTTACCCCCAATACTATTACTACCGCGTCTTGTCCCAAAACAAACACACGTTTAGATTCTGGCAACAATTGAACCTTGAACACTTGCTAGAAACTTGCTAGACTGCCACTGCGGCAACTTCTTTGAAAGCTTGACATGAAATGTGTCTGGGGTGCCCCTAAATGGTGCTTATTCTCCTGGTTTCCCTTCAAACAGAACCAAAAAGGGCAGATTCAAAAAAAGCACAGCCCCAACTGCGAGCAGCGCTTTGGCTCCCAGGCACTGCCGGGTGGAACGAAGTGGGTGACGTCCGCAATGTGCACCCCAACCTCGGGGCAGGCCCGGGGGGGGGGGGGGGGGGCGGGTGCAAAGGTTTGCACAAACCAGAGAGAAGGGGCCTGAAAAGGCGCGCCCTGCTCTTGAAGTTAGCTAAAACAACCTCTTTTCAGAAATGCCCCAAGCCGGGGCAGGCAAGCTGCCGAAGCATGCAAAAAGGGTAATCGTTGCCACTTGCATGGAGAAATCCACACATGTGTCAAATATCCGGGCAAAATGCGAATTGTTGGAAAAATCGTGAGCTCTGTTGCGCTCCATTTTGTTGGCGCACCGCTACTGTCTCCTCCCAACGCTTGCAAAAGCAAGGTTGAAACGTGTTACTTGCCCTTCAAAGCATTATTTTCAAGCTCAAAGTGCGTCGGGGCAGACACTTAAACCCGCAAAGCCTCCCTCCCAAAAGAGGATCATAGAAACCTTCTGAACGAAGGGTCTCTTATTGGAGGGTTTGGATCAAGCTTTTCAGGGGGGAGGGGCCGGCTTTGAAAGACGTTTGTTTTCATAGTCCTCTCAGTTGAACAGCCCACCGTACCCCGCAACAAAATGGCATAGAGCATAAGCGTAGAAATTGTCATCGCTCAGACTACTGCTTCTTACAGCTAGCTGATCGATTTCAGGCATCACGGTCCGACCGAATCACAATGGCATTGCACGACACTTCATTCAAAGCAAATATTCAATGCCACTGGAGCAGCTAAACCAACAACGCCAACTCCACAACAACCGCAGTAAACAACTCAACTCTGGCAACCCACAGCGCCCAACCGCTCGCGGAGATCTTCGCTTCTTTCTCATGAGGCAAGGGCAGCTGGCAACATGGCAGCCCCAAGAGCTTGAGGCGAGTGGTTGCTATCGCGAGGTCTGGGGTGTTTTTTACAAGCCTACCCTTCTTTGGGTTTGGTTGAAAGGAAATTGGAGGAACACCAGCAATTCTTGTGATTTGTGTTTGAGACAAAGGCATCTTTGAACATCACGTGCCTCGAAAGATTGCGGAGATGTCGATCTGATAGCTGTTGGTGTTTTTCTTTGTCGAGGAACCCGTCCCCTCTGTTGCGGGCTTGCTTTCTGATTGACGCGCAACTCTTGATTACTCACAACCAACGAGAGATCCTGCGAAAGCAGCCTTATTTTTCTTGCACTTGCCCAAAAAAAAAAAAAAAAAAAAAAAAAAAACAAAAAAAAACTGTCAAAACCTTGACTAAACATCCATCCACTGGGGAGGCAACAGGTCACGGCAAGTGAGTTGTGAGCAGGCAAACCGACGCCTCTTGATGAGTTGCGTTTCCATGTGCCCAGAAGATTCGGAACGCAACTCAACAAATGTGAGGGCCGTAGTTCCTTTGCGTATCGGTGAGGGCAAGGTAGAGTCTTGAGCATCATTGTGACACGGTCAACTCCCCAAATGCAGGCATCTCCTCCTTGGTTTTCAATGGGTGCATTTGCCACAAGACATCTTTGGGTGATCCAAATTCTTCTGACCATAGGTGTCCTGTTGGCAAAAAAGATGGCCCTTGGTTATGAAACAACCAGGTCAACCAGGACCACCAATATGATTTTCCACCGAAACAACCAAAAGGGACAGCTGGACGAAATCCTGCCCCTAACATGGCCGACCTCCTCCTTCGCTTAGTGCTTACGTCGGGGAAACCAACAAATTCCCGCTGGCGATTCCGAACTTCGGTGGCGCGAAATGTCGTCCATCGGCTCTGCTTCGCTCTAAGGTCCAAGCGCGCAAGGAGCCCGGCCGCTGTCCAGGCGAGACCTCTGGGCTGAACGTTTGGCCCCGGGGTGCCCGAGAGTTCTTTTTATTTCTCCTTTGTTCTTTGTTTTGTTGTTTGTTTCAATATTTATTATGTATAAACATATATACATAAATATTGTTTTTTAAGTGTATTGTGTTAAACTAGCCGCAGACAGTGTTTGTTTCTAACAACAATGGAAACGGGTTTGGATGTGCTGTTGTGGACTCCAGCTGTACTTCTCCCTGGTTTCGCTTGAGAAGACTATGTGTATTTGTTTAAGCAAATAGCGTGTTAAACTAGGTCCTCCAGTAGAGAGGTTAGAATAAGGGTACTTTTTTTCTGTAGTCTATTTTAGTAGGGGAACCCTCCCCCAAACATGCCTGAGCCTAATTAGCCCACTCGGATACGAACCCAGGCTTCCCTTGCGAGCTAGGGTACATTTTTCCCATCATGTTGTTGACCTTTGTCAACCCACAAAGGTGGCAAGTGAAGGGCACCTTCGGCAAAGTGCACCCTTGCGACCAAAATTCCCTCAAGAAGTGAGAAACCACCTCTTGGAAACGCCAATTCAAAGTGAATTCCCCTTTGGCAAACGTAGAGAACCCTGTTATTGCTGGGGTTGATATCCACAATGGGAACAAACACCAAAAAAGGCGGGCAAGCAAGCGAGCAGAGAATGCCCTTTCTCATGTTGAATGCGAGGGGTCACAACAAAGGGTGTCATACTTTTGAGAGTCGCTGTTTTCAGGCAACAAACTTCTTGCACAATATACGATACAGACTATAATTCACAAACTGGAAATCAGCAATCCACAAGTCAGCATGTTGAACACCATGGAAAGACGTTTGTCTTCGGCAAATCTCGCGGATATGGGCATGTCTCAAAAAAGGCGGACCCTCAAAAACTGTGAACCAGATAAAGCCACACTTTCGCTGATTAGCGAAACATGTTTTGTTGTTGTTGGGTTTTTTTTCCAAGGAATAACATGTTGCTTCCCTGTGACAGATTTGCCTTTCCTCGTCACCCCGACACAGATATACTCAAAACCCAGGCAGTCTCATTTGGACCAGCAAACGAGCGGCCAGCAGCAACCACCGAATTCGGCCAAGCCAGGTGCCGACACTGCGTCATCCAAGTCCTGCACAGCGGAGAGGCTTCTCAGGCTGTGCCTGTTGGGCTCCAATTTGAGGAAACAAAGGGACCCGCCAAGCAGGTTTCGACACGTTTAGGGGTCCCTGTGTGTGTGTGTGTGTGTTGGATCCAATAATGAAGATTTGGAATAGGGTCTGTCTGTTGAACCCCCGCTTTGGGAAAACCCCATTCACCCCTTAAGTCACACCCAACACTCATCAGCACTCTCACCTCCTGAGTGGATTGACCCAGGAAATCTGAAACTTCTCATGCCAGAATTGAGTCAACAAGTTGGGGCAGCGAGCTCTTCAAGGGGTGTGCCTTGATTTGCACAAAGGCTGTCAAATTCGAAACACCATCTGCCTCCGGAAAATCTTCGTCAAAAGGCAATCAATTCAAGCAAAATAATGCCAAAGCACGCCCGCCATAAAGATCCGAGTTGAGGTGTAGATACACTACAGATTAGAATTGGGGACTTCCGTCGATGCCAGCACATAGTGGGATAATGTCTGCGCTTTTCACTGATTCTCATGGTATCCATTGTCTCGAGCCACTGCAGCACAATGGTAAGCAACAGAGTTGCTGGTCGGCCTGTCAAAGCATTACTGTGTTACATCCGACACAGTTGGATGAAACCCCATGAATAGTGCGATAAACCACCTATCAACTGATGCAGGACTTTGCCCATCCAAAGTATGACGCCTTTTTTCCCCATGTTAACGATTAAGATAAGGGGATTTTCTTTTTTCCACTATGAATGAGGGCCCGACCTTTGCATGCGGCGGGTCGATGGTCACGCAGTGTAGGTGTCGCCTCGGGCTCGCCAGCCAGCACGTCACCAGTGTTTGCTTGAAGTCTAGTACCGATGTGGGTCAGCCTTTGCATCCCTTGTGTCTTCGGTGAGTATCTTCCATGGTCAGGGAATACGCGCGAGTCGGAAATGATGCAAAAGGCAACGAGTCGCGTTTCCGCAAGGAGTCGCCCCTAATTACCCCAACCTCCTATCAAAATTGATCCTGATCAGGGTGACAAAACGGTGGCCCTGTGGGGGTGTGCAATCCTACACCCTGTATTCGTATCAACCAACATGGTTCAAAGATGGCCAACTGGACCACTTGACCCAATGCAACAAATGTGGGTGGGTATCTGGATCGCTGAACTAGGGATTTTAACGGCCACAGCTTCATGTTGTCTCTCTCTTCCTTTTTCAATAACTTCAGAGACCAAAAACCACCTGCCTGATTGCGAGCAAAAACCTGATAAGGAGGCAGGCACCTCACACCAAATTTACGGAAGCCAAAGGGTCTCGCCACGGTCTCAAAACCATTTTCTGAGGCCCTGTTGCTACTGGGGTGCAGCCCCTGACAACCATGCAACTCCACGTCTGTTGTAGAACAGCAAAGACTGCCCGGGAGGATACCGATAGTAAAAGCCGCTCAGCATAGGGGAGGTTTGTAATTGAGCTGGAGACACTTGAAATCATCCCTCCTAGCAAGGATGTCTCCCTTTCAAAAGCTGGTTTCTTTGGCAGCTCCAGCTCGAAGATCACACCTTTTCAGTGCAGGCCTGCTGAGGTCAAACTCTTCAAACTGCGGCGTGCAGATTTATGATAGAATCCAATGCAGTCCTTGTCCAAGGATCTCTAACTGCTAGACAAGGCCTAGAGGTTGAGCATGCTTTGAAAGCGCACCCGAATGCCCACGCAGGTTCCATGCGGAGCATAAGCAAGATTGCAGAAGCAAGGAACACGATTTCACGTCGGATATACATTGATACGAAGCAACCCTTTATGAGAGCCTTTTTTTTGGGGGGTTGTGTTAAAGCAAAATCAAGGGGAAGTGTCCCTTCGACACATCCACGACAGGGCCCCAAATTTGGGCGGCCGGGCAGGTCCCTGCGCCGGGGCAGCTCGCTTTGCACCACCGCGGCCCTGAGGGCGATTGAGAGGAAAGGGCGAGGCTGGTCAACCTGCCTAAGCCTAGGAACTATCTTCAACCCTCAGGGCTATGTTGGACCAATCTTGGTCAACCTTCAGGGGTATGTCGTACCCCTTTTCTGGTGGAAGAAAGGGACACCAGCCATCTTTCTTTTGGGGGAGGGTCCTTTAAAAACAAGACCCACCCGAATGGGTGTGAACTTTGATCAGGGACTCTTTGGTGGACATCACGTAGGAGGGGGTTCATGTCCACCAACCACGTCTGGGGTGGTTCCCTATAATCAATCATGGCTAAATCTGTGCCACCAGTCATGGGGCATATTTGGCTGCGATGATCAACCCGGTGATCCTCAGGGCCCTGCGTGGACACCGGCAGGCAAAAGCTCTACTGACACTTGACTCTCTGGTTTGAACTAAATAAACAAAGAAACCATTGGTGTCATAAACTGCTCAATAAACCAACCTGAAAGTCTTAAGGGTATGGCTGGGCCAGACAGTTAAGTGTGGCTAAGGTTATAACCAATGTTAGCCACCTACTATCCGGTATCAAGGTAGGAACCTCGCAAAATGGCGGCTCTCTCTCTTTGGTTCTCCTTTTTAACCCACCCCAAAGAAGAGGACGCCACATATATACCGGTATCAACAAACACCCAAGCATTTTTCTGGGCAAGTTGCTAGAATTCCCGGGGCATGGGACCTGCACCATGCCTGAGCATGTGAAATCAGGAGGGCGCCCGGCAGCTCACACCCGTCGTGCAATCCATTCCCCTAGGCGTCCTATTTGTTAAAACACATGGAATGATTGGACTCCAACTGGAGCCAGTGGAAAGCATGTTCAACCAAACTGAAACCAAAAAGGACACATCCCTTTGGAAGGCCTAAAACAGTCCACAGCCAGAGGTGTGCTTGGGAAGGAGCAGTTTAATGAATACACAAGGAACACACATGGGTCAGTCCAATTGATCACAAGGTCAAGCTATTCAGCACCTTTACTAGGTTGGACCAGGCACGCGGAAAAGTTGCAAATTATTCTTCCGTTTCCCCCCGAATCGGTCTTGGGGAATGGTCCCCACCCTCGCGCTTTTGGGGTATCTGAAGTGGGGAAGCAACAAATTCGAAGTGTCGAAAGGTTAGTTTGGTCGAACACAACCTCTGTTGCGACGTGTCCCAATCCCGGATTCGCACCGTCAGACCTGGTTGCTTCCCAAAAATAACCCTGGGATAACTTCAAAGCTGGGTCAAGCGAAAGGCAACGAGGCAAGCTGGGTCCAAAGGGTAGACCATTTGGGCCTTGAAGGTCACAAGTCCAGGAGCTCAGGTTGAGAGCACAAGGATCCGAAAAAAGGAGACGTCCAAAATCCACCTGGGGACAAAAAACCGCTGGTGATTGGCCCAAATGAATCCTAGGTTACGGTATGAGCCAGTTGGGTTCCTATTCCGGAATCCGGCCTGACTCTAGAGCAGCTTCAAGGTTGCAACCTTCAACTCATGTTTGTCGGTTGGTCGGCTTTTTGAGGGAAACCTCCTACCCGAAAATGAGACCAAGGAATATCCCAAGCAAATCCGGGACTGGCGGATTGACCCGACAGCTGTCGCTGTTGGAGAAAGATGCAAAAAAGGGGAAGCTTTAGCGAGGGTCTGGGCAGACAAAAGGACCTGAGCTGAAAGCTTTGGGTTTTGGAGACGTCGCCAACCCCCTAGAAGACCACACCCCACTCCGGAGTAAACCATTTATCAGAAGCACTAAAGCCTTATCTAGTGCTTAGTTGCGCCCCATTTGATGAGGGGCAACTAAGCACTAGATAAGGCTGAATGAAGTGTAACACTTACGCTTTGGGGTCAGAAAGGTCTGTCTGGACCGTGCCTGTGGTTGGGAATTCATCGAAAATTGAACAAAGTCTCGTCAAAGCAAAAAAAAACCTGGCTGTTTCAACCCTACCATGTTGTGCCAACAAACTCCCTGTTGCTTTGTATGAATGCATCCTTCAGGATGAATTTATTGCGATGCTTGGAGTGAGGAAATACCAAGTGAGCCAGAAAGGAGACCCAAGTTTCATTTATCTGACTAGTTCCCACAAAGGGACGACTGAAACCATACATGAGAGCACAGTGTGCACCCCTCCCCCCCGTCCCCCATCCCAATTGTTGAGGTCATGTGGCAAGGCCACACATTGAGCACCCCGACGTGTCCGGGAACTGCCGACGAAGCTCTTCTTCCACATCCTCGAATGCCGTTGATGCTCAAAGATGGAGACTCACTTGTGATGCTGCGACAAGTAGGGACTGTGGTTGAATGCACCCAGGCTTTGGTGCCCAAGGAAACCACAATAGATGGTTTATAGCGGTCATTCCCTCATTAATTCCCTGCTGAGCACCAGCAAGCCTAGGCGTGTCTTTTTCGAGATTTATCTAAAGGGAGATTCGAATGAAACCAGTAATTTTGGGGCGGTCCTCTATTCTGAGCAAACTCAAGAACACTTGCCATCCCCACTTCGCTACCCTCAAAAGAAGACCCCATGCTCAGACTCATAAACCCATCCTGCCGGGCCGTGACACACAAAAGTGATCCGGAGATTCCCGCACCGATAACACCCGCCAACCAAAAGCAAGGGGCATCTGTTCATCTTTGGTTGGCCAACCCTAAAAATCGTCCCACTGGCCCTTGGCTTCACCAAGGCGACTGGTGGCTCGGCTGGAGGCGACCCCATCGGCCCATGCGACTCCTCCGAAAAGCCTCGCCACTCCAACCCGAAGAAGGCCAGGAGCGCGTCGGCCCTCAGAGATCAGAAAAGCGCCGGGGGCCTTTGGGGAACCTCCCAACGCGCAGATCTGGGGGTACACCATAAATGCAGACCAAGATATATATACATATATATATATATATTATGTCCAAGCCAAGATATATATATATATATATTTCCAAACCAAGATAAAGGTACACCAGATCTAAAACTACAATATATGTTTCTAAAAAACAAACCACAAAACAGCAGGACATTTCACCGGACAGCCCTGGATTAGTGGATTTATCTCCTGTAATTGGTCCTGTACCTGAATTCTATGAATACTTAGAGTCTGTTCCATATTCAGTGCACCCTAGAATATAACATGTTTTTGGAGGAGGGTTCAAGCCCCTTTCTATTTTTCTAGTCCTGCCCGCCCAGGAATGCCATCTTTAAGGGGAATCCAAGAGGTAGGTGGAGGTAGAGGTAAACCCTCTTTAGCCTCTAAAATGGGGGGGGGGAGCTCCCTTTGATTCCCATCCTATCAAGGCCTTGTTAAGCCCTCAACGCTTGAGGATGCGTTTTGAAAAACAAAACTAAGGTGCGCACTTGTCACTCTCTAGGGCAGCATTCCCAAACAGTCACTTGAGACCTGGAAATCTGATCCTACTTTTTCAGAGCCCTCGAGGTTCTGTGTTTTTCCCGGTGCAGTTGGATACATCTCATATCTTGACTACATGAAGCAAGCTATAGAATTAATATCACAACAGCACTTGACTCCGATGGTGTTAAGCGCTCAAGCGCAACATACATCTCTTAACTACAGGCGCCTATTTGGAGTTTCTGCGGAGATATGGTGAGAAAGAATAATCAGTTCGCACATCCCCATGGCCTGCAATCTCCTAGTTGAAACCTCCAAATGGCCATCCGCACTGTACCCATTGGTTGGCCATGTTAACTGCTGCTTCCACACAGAAGGGTGTGAACCAAGAGACCATGCGGTTTCGATTTCCGGCTTCCGAGAGTCCCAGCTCAGCCCTCGCCGTGCCGGTTGCACCCAGGATCTGGCTCGAATCAACTACTCAATTCGCCCATGGCCAGTGGATTTCCAGCAGAAGCGACACCAACTTTCTGTGAAATGTCCTGCCCAAGAAGAATAGACATCCAGAGGTGGTGCCTGAGGGAAGCCGAAGCGAGGCTACCATGGCCTCGGGTTAAAAAAAAGTAAGACGGCAGGACATTGCGGCAGCAACCAGACCTGGCCCTGCTTGAAACATCGGGTGTGATTTTGGATTGTACTCCCTGCTGCAAGGTCAGTTGGGATCTTGTCTGAGGCCCGAGTTGGAGGAAGCTAAAGTCGATTTGCTTCGTTTAACTGAGTTTAACTCCCCAGTGTCGCACCAAACTCCTTGGAGAATGTCCCGCCTTTGTCCGTACTTGCGCCTGGTCTGTCAGCAACAGATTGCTGCTTGCAGCCCCCACTGCAAATGAACAGAACGAACAAAGCAACCAATGTATTCCCGAAGACATTGCAACAAGAAGCAAACAAACACTTTTGACAGCAATACTCAGGGATGGCCTAAAGTGGGGGCGTTTTGGTATTCACTTGTAAAATGCGGCGCAAAGCAGCACCGGAAACCAAAACCGGGGCTATATTTTTGACAACCGAAACCTAGAACGCTGAAGTATTGCTTACAAACCTCTTTGCATCCGGTGCCTCTGACAGCTCCGCACGCGGCGACAGGGACTCATCCGGCCTGGGGCTATATGCCATTGAGGCGGCACTCTTGCCAACCCCAAAAGTAAGGTGGGTGCCCAAACATCGGTTAGATTGCCGGGATGTTCAACTTGCTTTTCCTGTTGCAAGTGGGAAACAAGCTGAAGATCTCGGCAACTTACGCAAGGTTCTTGTGGTTGAACCCGAGTGGCTTGTCCCTTCCCGCACCCCAAATAGAATCACGGCCACGCGAACAATGCCCGAAATTTACCATAGGTAGCGGTGTTGCTTGCAATAAATTTGTGGAATCCGCACCTCGTCTTCCCAACTCTTGGCTGGATAAATTGACGAAGCGCCTCAACAGCCCTATTCCGTTGCAGTTTTACTTGGGGGAAATCGGAGAGGGGTAGGGAACCTTTGCAACTCAGGTATTTCAGCAGAACATTTTGCGTTCTACAGCCCCTCAAAACGTGAAGAGGACCGGAAAAAACACGCACCCAAAACCCACTTGTAAGAGCAGTAAAGCTCTAGGGCTTGCAAAAACGGACTGAACCAAACCATGGCCTTCCAGGAAACCAAGAGGAGGGCCTTGCCCAGAGCCCTAGTTTCGCGCCCGGAAAAACCGTGGCCGAAACTCTTTGGACCTGCTTGGGTGCCATCCAAGAGGAAACCGGCAATCTGCTTTTTGACGCATCTCTCAAATGATTTAGTCAGGAAAGGGCGCCGGTACGGACAACCAAGCCTGAATCATGAGCAAAACCCAGCCCTGCTACCAAAAGGGTCTACACAAAGCCATCTGGGTCTGAATTTCGAAAACGCCGATGCTCGAAATCAAACAAAACACACCGAGCGATCGGAAAGGGAGTCTGAGGCTAGTGCCAATCCTTGAACTTGACGACCTCAGTGGCGTAGATTGGCAAAACTAAAAAGTCAAACGGGTATGGGGTGACCATGTTATGAGGGGATCTCAAAGCTATTGTTGCGGGCGGTTTCCGTAAAGCCGCTATTAAGACTATTTTAGAGGGTAAGTTTGAGAAGGGCACGAACCAGAACGAACCAGGGACCGAAAAAAAACGGCGTGAGGGACTAAAACCGTCTCCAAGTCGGTGTCCCACATCTTGCTCGGTCACAAAATACCTCCGTGCATCGGTTCGTTGCCATCTGGATGCCCAACCACCATAGATGCACCGTACTTCCCCAATGCCTCAATGCATCTCAATGCTCACCAAAAGGGGTCTAGGGCATGGGCGGCAACTCCCCCCAATTGCAAGTAACCACTTTCCCCTCCAAATGGAACCCGGCGCTTCCCGTTGCAGGGGCAACCTTCTGCAGACTGGACCACTCATCGAGTCCCGGCATCTTCATGCATCGCCTGATATGTTCGAATTCACTCGGCTCGTTCGTTGGGGCATCCCTTTTTTTGAAGGGGCCCTTCACTGAAACACCCGCCAGGCGAACACTTGCTCTCTACTTGCAATATGTGTCCAGTTGCATGGCACTCGGACTTTTCTTTGTCCCGTGATGATATCCATGTTACTTGGCAGTTGTGTTCCATGTCATTCCCTTTTCTAGAGTACAAACACGTGAATATCAATGGATGCGGGGATGAGTATTGTGAGCTCCGGGGGGGTTGGTGGGAAGGTTTTCCCAGAAGGACGTGGGACCTTTGGGATCCCCCGGATCCCCCATGCCCTCCCTAAACAAACAGTTCCAATCATGCTGTCAGCTGCTCATGCGAATACCAACTTCTCTGTCCTGCAAATTCGCCTGAAGCTTGTGTTCTTTTTGCAGGTACCCTTTTTCTTCTAATTTGCTTGAAACAGACACTCCAGGAAAAGCTCTCAACCAGACTTCCCCGGTTGTGCCGCTTTTGTGTGTGGTCTTCCACGCCGAGCCAAGTCAGGGCCTCCCCACGCACAACGCGCCCTTCGAGGACTCCTGGCAGCGCCAAATGGCTTCGACTCGTCGGTGAAAACGGAAAACCTGGAAGGGCCCAGTCTTCAGGACTTGGTCTTTCGGCCGGAGACATGTCAAATGACTTGGTCTGGGTCTTTCAGGACTCAGTCAAGTTCAATGCTGGGGGACAGGAGGGTACGTAATTCCATGTTTCGAAAACCCGGAATAAGAATTGGATCCCCAAGTAAAGGACCTTCATCATGGTCCGCCCCCAAACCAGTGAGCTCGCCATAAAACGGGCAGAAACATGGCGGAAACCCAATGCGCACAAGAGCAAACAAGCAAACTGCTGGTTGAGTCTGTGTGTCCCCCGAGCCCCACCCTTCTGAGAACCCCTTGCAAAAAGGTTCTCCAAGATTTTGTGCTGCGTGTTTGGGGGTGGGGGTGGGCGGGCCTTTGGTTTCCTCCCTATTTGGCTTGGCTGAGAACATGGTTCTTTGCATATATATATATAATCCCACAAGTCAAAGTGGCGTTGAGTACATATTCAACAGGGTTCCCTACATGTCCTGTTGACATATGGACCAGCCAAGAAAACCCCGCTTCAATGTGGTCACCCCCTCCCCCTTGAAGGGGAGACATACAGACTGGGAGGGGCAGTATCCAAAATATAATTGATATTGAAACAACATGTTCATGGACAACAAAACAACAACCGCTGCAAGTGTCAACTGCCAGCAACGGGTTGCAACAACAAACAGCAACCAACAATCAGAACCGACCAGGCATTTTAAGAGCTGCCATCCGACAACTAAATGGCCGGGCCAAAGGAACTCCCCAGCCCCCCCACCCCGACCCTCTTACCATTTGTTGCGATCCAGGGTTCCAGAGTGGGGGGCGTTGGTTAGGACTGTGGCTTCCTTTCATACCATCCCCAAAAGGGCTTCCCTATTTTGAGACGAACCGCAACAGTCCATCTATTTAAATGTCCTTGAGGAACTGGGCGACAGGGCGCGACAATTTCCTCTCACACCAAAAAAACAAATTGCACCTGCAGCGTGGATTCCAAGGCGGCCGAAGACAAGCCTCAGCGCGGCTGTACGAGCAAAACATCAAATGCTTGGAAACCAAAGACCTATGAGTCACTCGGTTGAAGCCAGTCAACCTTACAGTCATCTTGTGAGACGAAAAGATCACAAAGTTTTGGGGATCTTGAGTAGACCTGGTTGCTGGAACGCCTTCGCCACAAGGAGGGGGATACTGTGGAACCCACGGAAACGGGAAACCTGTCAGGTGCCATGTAAAGTTTCAGGAGGGTCTTAAGGGGTTGGGGCCGGGGGTCAAAGTAATTGTCTGGGGGTACTTGGACCCTTCGCGCATGATTGATGTCTCGCAGGTTGAAAGCATCCAGAAAACTCAAGTTATACAAATCCAGATCAGCCTTTGACCAGTGCGTGATACAAGAATATGCGTCAATGCACATCGAATCGAACCGAGTGGCCCGCAGTAAGTATGTGTTAAGCAAACCCCGCACAATAAGCCATTGGGGTGTGTCAACGCTGAACGTCCTTTTGGAAGGGCGTCGATGGGATGTCAACATGAAACGAACCACTTCGGAGGGTCCCTAGTTTCGACATGGAGGGATGTGGGGTCCCAAGTCTAAACAGCAAATATGGCAACTACATCCCATCCGTTCCTAGAGCTTTGCCAGTGCGTGGTGCCACTTGCTGTGAGTCCTGATTGGGGTCTCTGTCATCCAACAAGTTTAAGTCAAGCTTGCTTCAAGGACCCTAGGGATCGAATGTTGGCTGCCTTAAGAAAACAAAACCTGGCCAAATGTGTGTGGATCATCTTGTAGAGACTCGGAGCAAAGCCTGACTCAAGGTCATAGCCTAGCCATTTCGTGCTTTCTACTGATACACAGCCCAAGGCGATTGAGGGTGCGCTCTTGACCAATGTTCTCAACTAGGCAGTGTCCATAACATGACTTTTGGCTCTATCACGATTCCTACGACCCCTTGCCACCTGCCTACCCAGTAACATGGCCAACGGTTTTGGGCGCGGACCCCAAATTTGATTTGAAAAAATGGCCCTTCGGTCACACAGCGCATGTTCGGCGCAGTAACTGCGCTAAGACCAGCCCTTTCGGTTCCTTACAGTTTGGGCACGGTGATTGCTCATCTGCAAGTCTTTT